CTAAAGACTCCACCAAAAAAACTATTAGAACTAATCAATACATTTAGTAAAGTTGCGGGATAGAAATTCAACATACAAAAATCATTAGCGTTTTTTTTTTTTTTTTCTCATTCATGAGATATTTATTAAAATAACACATTTAGGGAAAAAAAATCAATACAATGTATACATCATTACTGAAAACTGTATACCATCACACAAAAAAGGATTTTATTTTGGGAAATTGTTTTCTAATTTATGGCAAGTTTTACTTTCAGAAATAAAACCACAACAACACAATCTAATTCAATCTTAAAGGCTGGCATGCTGAGCAAGGAATGTTCTTATGCTTTCTAGGAGCTCCTTCTTTACACTGTCAGGTACCAGGGCTCTGCCTTTTGGAGTGATTTCAGCCACCAAGTCATCAACAGTAACGTGTTCTAGTCCTTTTTCTTTAATTACCTCTTTACAGTGTGCCTTCAACTGATCCTTCCAGCCACATTCAATTAATTTAGCTCTCAGCAACTCTTTGAGGCATTCTCTTTCTCCAGTTTCTATCAACTTTTGGTTAATCCCTGCTCTCATCTGCGTATCTTTGTTCATCTTGCTAACCACACTCTTCGGCTGCCCGGACTTAGACCCTCAGTCATCATTAGCATTTCTATATGCCAACAGCGAACAATCTGAGAAAGAAATCAAGGAAGTAATTCCATTTATAATTGCTACAAGTAAAATAAAATACCTAGGAATGAACCAAACAAGTGAAAGCTCTCTAGGATGAAAACAATAAAACACTGATGGAAGAAACTGAAGAGGACACCAAGAAATGGAAAGATATGCCATATTCATGGATTGGAAGAACTGATATTATTAAACTGTCCATACTACCCAAAGCAATCAACAGATTCAATGCAATCCCAATCAAAATACCAATGACATTCTTCACAGAAATAGGAAAAAAATCCTGAAATTTATATGGAACCACAAAAGACCCAGAATAGCCGAAGCTATCTTGAGCAGAAAGAACAAAACTGGTGGAATTATATTACATGACTTCAAACTGTACTACAGAGTTATAGTAACCAAAACAGCATGGTTCTGGCATAAAAACAGACATGTAGACCAATGCAACAGGATAGAGAACCCAGGAGCAAATCCATACATCTGCAATGAATTCATATTTCACAGCGATTCCAAGAACATACACTGGGGAAAAGACAATCTCTTTAATAAATGGAGCTGGGAAAACTGGACAACCTTATGCAGAGGAATGCATCTAGACCTCTCTCTCTTGCCGTATAAAAAAATCAAAGTGGATTAAAGACTTAAATCTAAGACCTCAAATTATGAAACCACCAAAAGAAAACATTGGCGGAAACTCTCCAGGACATCGGACTTGGCAAAGATTTCTTGCGTAATACACCACAGGCATAGGCAGCCAAAGTAAAAATGGACAAATGGGATCACATCCAGTTGAGAAGCTTCTGCACAGTGAAGGAAACAACCAGCAAAGTGAAGAGAGAGCCCAGAGAATGGGAGAAAATACTTGCAAACTGTCTATCTGACAAGGGATTAGTAACCAGAATATATAAGGGGCTCAAACAACCCTGTAGGAAAAACATTTAATTAATTTAATCTAATTAAAAATTGGGCAATATATCTGAATAGATGTTTCTCCAGAGAAGACATACAAATGGCAAACAGGTATATGAAAAGGTGCTCAGCATCATTGATCATCAGAAAAATGCAAATCAAACCTACCATGAGATATCATCTCACTCTAGATAAAGTGGTTTTTATCCAAAAGACAGGCAATAAAAAAATGCTGGGTGAGGATGTAGAGAAAAGGGAATCTTCATATACTGTTGGTGGGAATGTAAGTTAGTACAATCACTGTGGAGAATAGATTGGCGATTCCTCAAAAAACTGAAAATGGAGCTACCATATGATCCAGGAATCCCACTGCTAGATCTATACCCAAAAGGAAGGAAGGAAGTATATTGAAGAGATATCTGCACCCCCATGTTTATTGCATCTCTGTTCACAATAGCTGGGATTTGGGAGCAGCCTAAGGTTCCATCAGCTGGTGAATGGAAAAAGAAAACAGTACGTATACACAGTGGAGTACTATTCAGCCATAAATAAGAATGAGATCCTGTCATTTGCAACAACAGTGATGGAACCAGAGGCCATTTTGTTAAGTGACATAAGCCAGGCACAGAAAGACAAACTTGGTGTATTCTTATTTGTGGGAGGTAAAAATTAAAACAGTTAAATTCATGGAGATAAGAGATTAGAATGATGGTTATCAGAGGCTGAGAAGAGTAGTGGAGTGAGTTGAGGGAGGAGGAGATGCTTAATGGATACAAAAAATATTTGAAAAGAATGAGTAAGATCTAGTATTTGCTAGCACAATAGGATGACTACAGTAAAAAATAGTTTATACATTTTCAAATAACTAAAAGAATTGGATTGTTTATAACACAAAGGACAAATGCTTGAGGTGATGGATACCTCACTTACCTTGATGTGATTATTATGCGTTGTATGCTTGTATGAAAATATCTCACATACTCCATAAATATATACACATACTCTGTATCCACAAAAATTAAAAATAAAAAAATAGTAACAACGTTTTTCTAAGTTTAATAGTGTTTTAGAAATTAAAAGAGACCCAGGAATAAAAGGAAAGGTGAACTAAGAGAGATATAGGTTAAAAAGAAATATAAGAGAAATAAGCTATATATAAGAGATACAGGCCAGGTGCCATGGCTCATGTCTGTTATCCCAGCACTTTGGGAGGCTGAGGTGGGTGGATCATCTGAGGTCAGGAGTTCAAGACCAGCCTGGTCAACATGGTGAAACCCCATCTCTACTAAAAGCACAAAAATTAGCCAGTCGTGGTGGTGGGCGCCTGTAATCCCAGCTACTTGGGAGGCTGAGGCAGGAGAATCACTTGAACCTGGGAAGCAGAGGTTGCAGTGAGCCGAGATTGCGCCACTGCACTCCAGCCTGTGCAACAAGAGCGAAACTCTGTCTCCAAAAAAAAAAAAAAAAAGATACATATATAAGACACAAGGGAAATAGGCGGGGCGTGGTGGCTCACACCTGTAATCCCAGCCCTTTGGGAGACCGAGGCGGGTGCATCGTGAGGTCAGGAGATCGAGACCATCCTGGCTAACACGATGAAAGGCTGTTTCTACTAAAAATACAAAAAATTAGCCCGGGGTGATGGCACGCATCTATAGTCCCAGCTACTCGGGAGGCTGAGGCAGGAGAATCGCTTGAACCCGGGAGGTGGTTGCAGTGAGCCAAGATTGCACCACTGCACTCCAGCCTCGGTGACAGAGCGAGACTCCATCTCAGAAAAAAAATGGGGGGGGCGGGAATATAGGCCAAAAGCAGAAGCAACAGTAAGGAAGAACTGGCAGGGTGGTTTACAGGGCCGCAGCAATCAGTGGCTCTGGAAGTGCAGGTAGTGCAGGCAACCCCGTGAGACTGGAAGGGCAGGTGGAGGGAAAGCGCAAAGGTGAGTGACGGAGGGGAGCCCACCTATTGGAGAGCTTCATGGGCACCACTCGCAGCTGTCTGTCCTGCTGGCAGGGCAAGTGACAGTGTCAACAGGGCAGTCAGGGGTTCATGTGACTTTGCCTTTTGCTTCTGACGCCTGTTCAGGTGGGCTCTTGGGAGTTGATGAGGTGGTGATTGAGCAGCCAGGAAGCAGCGTGGCAGGTTCTTCCTGTCACCTACCAGAGAAGATGGTGGCCGGAGGTGGCGCTTGCAGAACTCTTAGGGCCACTGAGGAAGAAGGTGGAGGAACACGCGGCCTTCTGGCTTGAGTGCCTCCTGTGTGTCGTAGAATGATCTAGATCCTGTGGGGGCACGTGGAGCAACAGGAAAAACTTGCAAGACGTGTGGGACGAGTGCATGGTCATCTGGTATCACGTGTGAAGCTGGGGCTACGTATGGGCCATAACTGCTCATCTTCTGGATGGTGTTAGACGAGGAAACCCAACGCAGGATCCCGTTAGTACTCTTGTCTGCTCTAATCGCAGGCTGAGCTGACGTCTTCATCCTTTGTTGGCTGCTGTGAAGGAATGAGGATGCGTTTATGGTGGAAAGAGTGTGGGGCTGAGAATCTGGAGGCCGGGGTCAAGTTCTGACCGTGCATTTATTATCCGTGTGACTTGGTGCAAGTGTAACCTGTCAGTGTCTGCGTCCTTATTTGTCATTTGGAGGCTATAACAGTGATGTCTGCCTCACAGAAGCCCTGGGTTGTCATGGGGATCAGTGTGAGTATGTGAGTGCTTCATAAATTGCAAAGCTCTGCCGTAGCTGATGATACCTCTAGACTTCTAAGTGCTTTGGGGAAAGTGTACCTGGTTATTCCTTATTCTTCTCACAGTGCCTCCAAAGTGTCAGTGATACTCAAGAAATGCTGGTTGAGTGTGAGTTTACTGCAGCACTGAGCAGTTTCTGGGTTCCATTTTCCAGTGGCCAGACCCTGTCCTTGTTCACACTGTTGGGTGAGGGAGGTAGAGCTGGAGCATCGGACTGGCCTATGGAACAGATGTAGTGGCCACGAGGAGGTGGCGATGCCTGGAGCAGTGTTAGCCATGCAGTGTGATGAGGATCACACGCTCTCACGTGGTTTCCAGTCGCTGGGCACAGAGCTACCTTCAGGGTGGCCCAGCTTCAAGTTCAAAAGCAGGAGGCAGAGTAGGGGCTGTTTCCATTTTCCGTCCTCCCACTTCACTTCCACTGCACAGCCCGTACGTGCATGCCTGCGTGCCGCCCCTCACACAGACTCTCCATCTCCTTAGTGAGGCCACACTTCTGACTCCTGGTTATTTCTCGTTTCCTTGACTCTCCGTTGCTACCCCTAGCCCCATCCCCTGCTGTGGACCCCGGAGAGGCACCGCCTGCCTCTGCCTCTGTGGGCCCAGGTGTGTGCTGGGTGTCGAGCTTGCAGTGAGAACTGGTTTGCTGAGCCTTGGTTTTTTTTGCGTCTGCTGCAGGTCATCTTCCACGACGTTGCTGTGCTGACGGATAAGCTCTTCCCCGTCGTGGAGGCCATGCAGAAGCACTTCAGTGCTGGCTCGGGAACCTATTACAGTGACTCCATCTTCTTCCTCTCGGTCGCCATGCATCAGATCATGCCCAAAGGTAACCTGGGCTTCCAGGAGCAACAGCCCCTGGGTGTCTGACTTTTGCATCCATTTCCCTGGTTCCAACACTGCCCAGGCCCTGTATCAGAGAGAAGAGCTCCACTGAACATGGGAGAGTGGACGAGGCAGCCAAACCAAGCCCTTTGTACCACCAAGCTTCCTACACCAAGAATCAAGGGCAGGGCCTTGGTTGCAGAGCTCCCAGGGTCCGTTTATGAGGACACAGGGGGTCTCTGGGCTCTGGCCTGGACTCTGCCCGTTGTACTCGCCCCCTTCCTTCCCCACTGCTCAACCCCCATACTGTGTGTGCTCATCTGAAAAATGGTAGGTTGGTTTAGATGATCGTCCATCCCAATTTATGATCTTGTTCTTTCTAGTCTGAATCTGTACTTATCTGATTCTAAAATAGCAAATCTAGATGTGAGAGGTGCAAATTATGACCATGTAGGACTTCTGAAGAAACTCTGATGCGTAATTAAAAGGATTTTCTGGGCGTCTGTCTCCAGGAAAGAGAGATGCATCCTCCCGTGTGTGATAGGTCCAGCTTCTGTGGAATTTCTGGCAGGTCTGGTCATGCTTGGACTGGAAGCCTTGGAGGGTCTAACTCCTGGAGTGTCTCTGGTTTCTGGGATCTCCCTACGGCGATCCTTGATGGGTTCTGGAGCCCTAGATATTGACCAGTGTGTTAATCTGTTCTCATGCTGTTCATGAAGACATACCTGAGACTGGGTAATTTATAAAGGAAAGAGGTTTAATAGACTCACAGTTCTGCATGGCTGGGGAGGCCTCAGGAAACTTACAGTCGTGGAAGGCGAAGTAAACACGTCCTTCTTCACATAGCGGCAGCAAGGAGAAGTGCCAAGTAAAAAGGGGAAAAGCCCCTTATAAAACTGTTGGATCTCATGAGAACTCACTTACTAGCATGAGAACAGCATGAGGATAACTGCCCTCCCATGATTAAATTACCTCCCACCAGGTCCCCCCCACCACATGTGGGGATTATGGGAACTACAATTCAAGATGAGATTTGGGTGGGGACACAGCCAAACCATATCAACCAGTTTCTGGCCATGGTGAGCCATGTCCTGAGCCTCCTAATGGTGAGAAGGGGTGTTTGGGGCCTTGGGGTAGCAGTTATCTGAACTGTGGCTGGTCGAGTTTTCCAGCAGTTTCCAGACCATGCAGGTCTTGGTAGCCCAGGGGACAATGGGCCATATGGTGGAGGCCTGCTCCTCCAGCCTGGCAGACCAGAAGTGAAAAAGAAGGTGCCTGGTGAACCAGGGACTCAGGAGTTGAGAGTTGAAGCTCCATTCCTGTTGGGAGGTTGTCCTGGCACAGGGAAAAACAAGCCCATGCATCCTGGCTGGGACTTTGCAGGCAAGAGCCCTTTGTTGTGAGGCAAGGGCTCAGGGGGCTCCACGGGGCAGGAGTCTGAGGAACAGAAGAGACGAGCTCACCAACAGGGCCTAGGGCGAAGAACTAGCATTGGTGATCCTTTGCCGTGACCCAGGTGCAGCTCCATCAGCTCCACCCAACCCTTCTACCCGTCCTGTGGGGTTACAGGTAAGGCTGAGGAGTTGCAAGACCTGCCCAGGGTTATATAGCCTTTTAAGTGGCAGAGCCAGGATTGGAACCTGCTTCTCCACATAGTTACTGCTACCCCATCAGGTGCCCCGTACGTGACCTCTCTGGACAGCCCAGTACAGGAGCTGTGGGGGGCTCAGACTTGAGAAGGACGTGGTTCTGTTCTAGATTCTAGCGGGCAGACCAGTGGAGGTGTTGCTCACAGCTCCGTCATTGGCCACCTACGTGCCTAGGGCTGAGCCACTTTGTCTCTCTTGGCGTCACCAGTTTCCCCACCTGTAAAATGAGGGGCCGCAGCAGTGAACTGTTTCAACTTGCATTCTGAAGAGCCCAGGACTTGTAGGAATCCCCCCCTAGGGGTTTCTGTAGTCCTAGGGAGCCAGGGGAGGCATACCTGCCCTCCCTTCACCTCCCTCCCTCCTGCCTCTTTCCCTGTCAGCTGTTAGGTCCCTGCCCATCACGTAGGCGGGGTTATGCTTTGGAGTACCCAGAGGGAGGTGAAATACAGCTCCTGGTGGTTTGTCAGGGAAGAGAAAATTCTTCTTCCTCCAGCTATAGGACATCCCAGCAATAAATTGTGCAGGGACCGATGACAAGAGTTAGGAACTCCTAGGCTGTTCTGGGAGAGGGTGATAATTATACCAAGAAGGTGCTCTGGCCCTCTCTGACTTAGCCCTGTCCAAGAGCCTGGCACAGCTCAGGGGGGTGGTGGTGTCTGCAGAGAAAAGGCTTTGGTCAGAGCTTTGCAGTCAATGCAGTAAATGGACGCATCATCGCTGTCCCTCCAGGTGTCCCTCCATCGCTGTCCCTCCAGGTGTCCCTCCAGGTGTCCCTCCATCGGTGTCTCTCTAGGTGTCCCTCCAGGTGTCTCTCCAGGTGTCCCTCCATCGCTGTCCCTCCAGGTGTCTCTCCAGGTGTCCCTCCATCGGTGTCCCTCCAGGTGTCCCTCCATCGCTGTCCCTCCAGGTGTCCCTCCAGGTGTGGGCCCCGCCCTGCGAAGGGCGTGCATCAGGAGTTGGGGAAGGAGTTATTTTAGATGTGCCTGCAGCTGACCCAAACACCCTGTCTTTTCTAGGGTTCTTTAGGGGAGTGATAATGTGCTTCCAAGCAATTCTTTTTTTTTTTGGCAGAGTTTTGCTCTCGTTGCCCAGGTTGGAGTGCAGTGGTGCGATCAGGGCTCACTGCAACCTCTGCCTGCCGTGTTCAAGCAAGTCTCCTGCCTCGGCCTCCCGAGCAGCTGGGATTACAGGCGCCGCCACCACGCCCAGCTAATTTTGTATTTTTAGTAGAGACGGGGGTTTCTCCATGTTGGTCAGGCTGGTCTCAAACTCCCGACCTCAGGTGATCTGCCCACCTCGGCCTCCCAAAGTGCTGGGATGACAGGCGTGAGCCACCGTGAACGGCAGCAATTCATTTTTATGGGTGCCCCAAAGCCTCTTCTTAAGAAAAGAGTTATTAGGAGTTACTAAAATTTGATAGTCATAAAATGAAATGAGCGGTCCTTGAGTTTCCTGTGGCGTCTGGGGTGTGTCCTGCCAGGAAGTCTGGCCTGGCACACTTGGCAGCCCTGGGGAGCTCCTACCGAGATCATTTGGAATTCCTGCAATTTTTGGAAGGACACTTTGTTTTCAGACATCATTCGTGCTGTCTTGAGTTTGTCATGATTCTTTACTGCTGCCTTTTTTGCATCCGTTGTTTTTTAATCGCAGAAATGAGTGTTGTTTTGTGCTTTGGTTGATGGTTTTGTTGTGGCGTAATTGCTGCATTCTTGCTACTTTGGCTATTCCGTTTCTTTCATAGCGTTTGTTTTTCTCCAGTAAAGTGAGAATGGAGTATGGGTGGAGCCTGAGCCCTTGGTCTCACCCAGGAGGGCTGGGTCAGGAAAACCTGGGCTCCTCTGAGTTCCTCCTGGAGGTCCTGTCTCGTGTTTGCCCCGGAAATCCAGATTCTTTATCTGTGTCCTCTTGCTTTCGCTTCTGTAGCAGGAGGGTCATCCTTCTGTACCTAAACTACTTTTAAAATATGCTTACTTTTTTTTTTTTTTTTTTTTTTTTAAAGACAAAGTCTGCCTCTGTCGCCCAGGCTGGAGTGCAGTGGCACGATCTCAGCTCACTGCAACCTCCGCTTCCTGGATTCAAGTGATTCTCCTGCCTCAGCCTCCCAAGTAGATGAGATTACAGCCACCCGCCACCATGCCCGGCTAATTTTTTTTTTGTATTTTTAGTAGAGATGGGGTTTCACCATATTGGCCAGGCTGGTTTCGAACTCCTGACCTCAAATGATCTGCCTGCTTTGGCCTCCCAAAGTGCTGGGATTACAGGCGTGAGCCACCGTGCCTGTCTATCATTATTAATTCTTTATCTTCTTTATATTCCCAACATGTAGCTTTTTACAAATTTAGGCAAAGTAGGAGTTACACTGTATATTCAAATCATTCTGAGTCTTTTTTATAGATCAAGATTTGAAATTGAATCTTCATTTCAACCCCCCAGCATGAAAGAAATTGTACAAATGAAGCTGTGTCATGATTTTTTCAGTTAATGGCTCACGTCCCCATTTTCTGTGTAATTATAGTCTTTGAAAATTTTTCGAATGGTTTTATCGAGTAGATGAACCTCAGTTCACTTTCTCATTTCCCTGTTCTCAGCTAGCTAGATGCTTTCTAGTTTTTCTAGTATCATAAATTATACGATGGATATCCACATGCATACAGATTATTTTCTCTGATTAGGATTCTTTCCTATGATAGTTCCCAAGGTAGAATTAGTGAGCTAGAGGTGACCCTTACAAGGCCAGGGTGTGTCAACCCCCAGCTGCCCAGGGTTGTCGACTCACACAGGTGAGGTTCTGTACAGTTTTCCAGCCTATTAGTGTCTGTACAGTTCTAAGCCTGTTAGTGTCTGACGTCTCACGTGGACCACCTCAGGCAGCCACTTAAAAGCTTCAAGACAGTGGCTGTCCCCACTGGACAGGAATGGAAAGGGAGGAGCTGAGAGGTCAGGCCAGTTCTCCAAGTTCTCCAGTAATCTGTGTCCTCCCTGCCCCTTGGAGTTCTCAGTCCAGAGCTTATGCCCATTCTGATGTCCAGACCTGGACCCCCAGCCTCTTACACATGCCCAGCCCTGTGAAACTTACAGGACTTGGCATCCTTGCCTGTCTTCTGGGCCCCATGTCACAGCCCTGCAGAGGGGACATGGCTGGGATAGGGTTGGGCTGATCAAACCCATGAGTTTTGCCCTGATGGCCCCCTTAGAGCAGCAGTGTCCAGAACCACATCTGAGCAAGGGCCTCAGGAAGAACGAAGGGGCCCTGCCAGGCGGGACATGCTGGCTCTGATTTTGATCAGAGCTTGTTTTTCTCTTCGCTGCTTGTTGGGGGTTCACATGTGGCCGGTCTCGCTGCTCACGCGTGCCT